GACTGACCTAACCTAAAATGTTAAAAATTGAAGGAGTGAGTAATTTATACTCAATAGGATACGTGCGTCCACAACAATATGATAACTTTTAAAACATGAATTTACAACATTTCATACCATCATTTCATCAAGAGCAATTGATGATCAATCGAATACTCTAACATATTTGAGAAGACCCGAAGGAGATCTCACATTTCATTTCATAGAGACCCGTAGGTCAATTAGCATTTCATGAAATAAATCACGTCAAAAATTATAATACTGAAAGGACGGAGCAACTTGAACATAGTATCCTACCTCATTTGATCAAATGAATTTTGAAAGACAAGATCCAAGAACCACTCTCCAAATTTTTATTTTCTGCCTATACAATTGTTTGCCGTATATGTACATATATTAGATGAAAATAAAGAGGCAAGGAAGCTTGGTAGAATATCAATGCAATAGAGGTTTATGCTGAATTTAAAGAATGAATCACAAACTAAAGAGGTGGGGCTGCCAAACGTAGGTGAACGTCATTAGTATTTATAGGCAACATAAAATAGTTGATTAGGGTAAAGATTGTATTTAGATAAATTGTTTCTAGCCAAAACTGGAGCAAGAGGATTGGAAGAGACGTGCCAGCAAAGCGATAGGATTAAAACAAAAATAAATTGCATTGTATATAATATAAAACTACTTTACCAAATTATGTAAAATGCACGTGTACACTGATAGAAGAAAAGTTGATTTTTTGCTATAGTGGATGCCAAATTGGAAAGGCAGAACTGGATATGATTCAATCATTTTCAAATTATAAACGTGATTATTATATAATAAAATACTATAACATTGTGCTAATTATCTTAAAAGATGCAACCTCTTGCTAATCACATGTACACATAGGCGAAACTAACTTTAATTGGGACATTGAATATTTTGTCAAAGGCCCAAAATTGTGCCTTACCATTAATCTAGCATATTATGAAAATTTTACTTAATGTAAAGGAGACTATCAAGGGCATGACTAAATACAACCTACCCAAAAATATAGCTAGTCGTAAATGTGAGAAATATTAAATAAGTCACAAGCATTTCACATTAAAAAATATATATATAATTAGTCATGGGGAAAATGATTATATTAAATAAATAATAGATGCCACATCGATGAGATTAATATAGAAAGACATGATAATTTCATGAATGAAGCACGTGGGATTACAAAATCCTAAACCTTAAAAAAAATTATTCTAAAATTTTCGGGGCGTTACACATCGCATGGCAGAAGGAGTGTCACTGGAAGACCACATTACTGTGTTTAGCGAAATAGTTGTAGTTTTAGAGACATTGAAGGTTAAGTACGATGAGGAGGACCTCGCCTTCATCCAGTTGTGTTCACTGCCCGCCTCTTATTCGTCATTTCGGGACACCATCCCATACAATTGTGATACTTTGATCATTGACGATGTTTACGATACTTTGTTCTCAAAGGAGAAGATGAAGCATTTGGTCGGAGCTATATCGAGGGATGAGGAAGTTTTGGTATCTCATGATAACCGACGGAGGGGTAGATCGATGACAAACTCAGCAATTTGTACTACCTCTACTACAAGAGAAAAAGACACATTAAGAAAGATTGCGATAAGTTGCAGGCTAAAGGCAATTTAGCTGCAAATCATAAGGGGCAATCATGCAATTCAAACGAGACTAATGTTATCGAGGATTTTTCAAATGGCCGTGATGTGATGTTGACCGTGGCATCTGTCATGCAGTCTAAACCTGACGAGGAGTGGATTATCAATTCAACATATTCGCATCATATGTTTTACAATTGGAATTTCCTTTAGACATATGAAGTTGTCAAGCAAGGTGGAGTTGTGATGAGAAACAACCAGTCTTGCCGTATTGCTGGAATTGGTTAAGTCAGATTAAGGTTGCAGGATGGGACGGTCAGAATAATTGATTAGGTTCGACATGTTCCAAACCTAAAAAGGAATCTCATCTCACTGGATACCCTAGATGTAAAAGGGTATAATTTCTCTGGTGGAGGTGGAGTCTTGAAAGTCCGAAGGGGTGTCCGGGTTATACTAGAGGGACTGAAAAAGTTTCAGTTGTACATCTTGCTGGGAAGCGTAGAACCAATTAAGAGATATCTGAACAATTCAGTACCATGGTGGATATTTAGTTTGGTATAGTACTTTTTGTGATGGGCTTTGAGTCAGTTCAGAACATTGCTCAAGGGAGCATTGGTGATTTTGCTTTGCCACCAATTTCAGTAGATACATTGTGTTCAGTTGCAAAGGTTGGATTCATTGAGCGTAAGTACAATGGTGTCAATGATATCTGTAATGCTTTCAGGATTGTTGAAGGTGACAGTTCTAGTAAAGGGCCTTTTGATCAAGCATTTGGTGTGGTTTCTGCTACAGGGTGTGTTTCGACCCTATTTGGTCAGCAGTAATTCCTTGAAGGAATTTTGGGAACTCGGGAGCGGGGTTCAAGTGTCGCTCGTGGACTTAGGGTAGAGGAAGATTTTTATTTAGTGATAGAGAGTTTTGATTACTGTATTAAGGAGTTGGCTATTTCGATACAGGCGGAGTTATTTCTCAAGTGGAGAAATTTTGGAACTTCGTTCGTTGTATTGAAATTTGGGTCAAGGTGGAGATTGTTGTGTTTATGACCAAAATTAGGAAAAAGAAAATTGTTTCCTTATTTTCACGTGATTTTATTATAAATATATTATTTCCTTATTTCATATTATTTCTATCTTTATGGTATGGTATGTACCTATAAATAGTGACATTTTTTTTTCAATTTAGTTCAAACAAAAATTGCTGTATCATAATTCTCCCCATATTGTTATAATAAAATATCATTTCCTCTACTTAACTCTCTTTGATTTTTTTACTTTAAATCTTGTTTCATTTTTGTGATATTGTTACATATTTTATACAACATCATTAATCAAAATCATTGCTTCGCTTTTGAGACCAACATTATTGTTAAGGGCCTCATATACACCAGACCACTGTTTAACAAGTCGGGGTCGCCAAGGCGGAGGCACACTAGGCAAAAGCCGTTGCATAGTAGAGTCACAGTTAGTCGAGGCGTGCTGCAAAATCTAGCAAAGACAGGCACCAACATGGTGGAGATTACCCAAGGAGGCGTGAGCAGCACAGGATAACAACTCAATCAATTTTACACCTCTTTCTTCGAGCCTTAAGCACTCGCTAGGGATTGATGGTAAGCCTAGGGGTCACCTGTGGCTTCTGTGATGGAAATGAAGAATTCATAAGTGCTTTCTGATAAGTTTAAGAATGCTTGGAGAAAATTAATTTGGCTACTTTTGCGTGGAAACCTAAGAGGAGCAGGTGAGATTATGGGATGCTAGCTTTTGGAGCCATTTAACACATCCAATACTATACAACAAAATGCATGTGTTTTAAACTATTTTTCATGCAATTGACTCATTGGCGGACCCACTCAGGTCCTGGTGGGTTGACCCACCAACTTCAATATTATTGTAATTTTTTTAAGTACCAAAAATAAAAATTGGACAATAATGGAAATTGAACATTTTTATTAGAGTAGAGTTACAACGATGAGCGAACAGTTGAGAGGGTGAGAGTTGAGATTTTTTTTTTTTTTTTTTTTTTTTTTTTAACGGTGGACAAATGAATAGTTAAATATTTTCAAGATTTTAGATTTTTTTTTTTTTTTTTTTGTGATATTTAATTTGTGAATTCTTTGAAAACTTGTATTCATCATATATGTGAGATTATTTGGAATTCTTTGGGAATGGTTATTTATCATATAAATGAGATTTGTGAATATGTAATAGTGATCCCCTATATGTGTTTTTGCAGAATACATAATTTTTTCGTAATTTTTTAATAAGTTTGATTGTGTCCCAATAATTCCAACTATCTGTGTCCGCCACTTATTGACTTTTCTGTATTTTTTCTTAATCAAACTCACTAATCATAATCAAATAAGGATTAATTATTAAGTCAAATGGACAACCGAATAAATTCCGTCATGCATGAATAGATTTTCATTTTTGAAGATGAATATCACAACTGGCAAGAGTATTCAATCTATTTTGTTTTACTCAAAGCTGAAAAGAAGTAAATTGTTTATATAGGGAATCACTTGATCATATCAAAATAAGTATAGATCTTTATATATAAATATTAAATATTATAAAATAACTGATAAGTACAATCTACCTAGAATATCTGTCCCTTATCAGTTATCTTATATTCTGCTACCAGCCAAGTCTATCAAATATTCCAATTAGGAAAAAAACAGAGAAAAATAATTAAATGCTAAAGGATTTTTACCTATAAATGTTAAATATTATAAAATAAAAGCTTGTGAAAAATTTAACAGAACGTATACCGATTTTGACATGACAAAATATGTTTGGACAATTTTTTTTTCTCTTTTTCATCTTTCAATGATGTCGTGCCATATATTGTCTGTAAAGATTTTCTGTCAAAAAATTCTGTACTTATAACATGATTATAGAATATTTCTCCCTTCTCAATCAACTTATACGCTGCTACCAGCCATACTTATTTGTCTAATACAAATCTTTCTAATATTCCAATTTGGAAAAAATATAGAAAAATAATTAAATGCTAAAAGAATTGTTATAGCCGGATAAATTTGGTGCATAAAAACCAATCCTTAGTATACCCTTCACTCGCTTAGGACGAAATAACAATTATTTTAGATTATTCTAAGGTAATTAACAAAGTTATCTATGACCCCGTTTGGTACCTATTTTTATGAAAATGAGAAAGAAAAATATAGTCGTTACAAAACCCAGACAAAAAATAGAAAGTCAAATATAGTGACTTGATGTGATAGATAACGATCATATTTTTCATTTTCGTTGTCAAAGAATGAGAATCAAACGGAGGCTATATGTTCTCTTCTTTATATCTCTTTCCTCCCCATTTGGCCCATTTTAAACATTGCCAACCACCAAGGATTTCATAAGAACAATAATAAGATCAATGCAACCTTGAAATAATAGGATACTCTTTGATCCGTTTAAGATCAATTTCTCTTCTTTGAAGAGAAGTGCAACTAAAAACTTGTATCTTGAACAAAGTACAATAGGAAACGGCAAATCATTGGAAGAAAATCTTATATGTACTGAGTCGAAACTCAAATGTCAGCATAAGAAATCAACAATTTAAGCATGCGTATTCACAACGACTTCACATTTTCAGAATCTGATGTCTTCATTTCCCTTTCTGTTCTTGTTCTTGGTTGGTTTCTCCCATGAGTGGAATTTTCAGAAAAGATCAAGTTTCGTCAAATGCCATCACCTAGAAAGCCAAAAATACAAATTAAGACAACGGGGTATATAATTTCATTATCAATCTCCTGATACTCAAGTTAACAAAGATGGAAAGATAGCTTTGAAGAATTCACAAACCCGTGTAAACCATATCTAGAGAGAAATTTTTTGCTGAGCAACATGTTTACTGATGAAAGGCTAATTAGAATTGCAGCCACTAGAAGCTTGTGAGAAGTGATTGATTGATTATGAGAAAGGAGTATCTGTCAACATTCTGTTTCCTTTTCTGCGGAAGAAAATTCTGCAAGTTCTATCAACAAAACAGGAGAAGATTCCGATATCTTTAAGCAGACCCGCCCTTTTGGTTATGTAGGTACTAATATTCCTCTCACTACATGCCGCAGACTAAAGTGAATATTCAAGTTCAATCAATCTCCCTTTTTTTTCCTTTTTTTTTTTTTTTTGGGAAAATATCAAGTGGATGAATAAGGATATTGACTAGAGTCTTTCATTTTTCTATAGATAGTGATAGACAATTCCATCTAGTATTTAATGGAAGTTTCAATCTCAATTAGCCTGATTTTCAGAGGGCTTGCCGTAGATAGATTCATTGAATTCTATGTCAACTAGCATAATATTGTATTATAGATCTTCAGTTGATCTAAACAAGATTTTGTGGTTAATGTTTAGCTTCAAATGTTCCCAAGGAACACCAAATTTCTTGCTCGTGTTCGGTTTCCCACGACACAAGCAATAAGAACAGGCCATGGCAGCAAAGACTACTGGTGACCCTGGTATTAAAATTAAGGCCTTCTCAAGCCCAATACCCACCAGGGAATGCTATAGGGGGAGGGATATGGGCTGAGGAAAATTCATTACACAGCACTTTTCAAATATTGTCTACTAATTCAGTAAGTGCATGTTTGGTATATAGTACTCAACATTCTACTAATTCAGTAAATGCATGTTTGGTAAACAATAATGAACGGGACAAGACAAGACAATAATGAGATCAAAAGAAATAATGAGACATGCATTATAAATTAAAAGTAGGAGCCACGAGTATGGCAGGAAGGATCAGACATTACCTGGCCACAAACTGGACAACTATCACTTCTTTCCATCCATTCGTAAATACAACCGAGATGGTAATGGTGAGAACATTTCAAAATTATCTTGGGGTTTTCAATAGTATACTCTGCAGGAAAAAAAAAAGGCAACAAAGGTACGAAAAATCAGTATCCAGATATTATAATCCATACATTACAATTTGAAGTAGCAATTATCAAGTGAAACCAATAGGTAAAGAAAGACTGTGAGCACTGGAGAGAAATTCAATTCCACCACTGGATGAACGAAGATATGAAGTCTATTCTAAATATGCAAGTCACTACAGTATATTAGACGGCAAATGAAAACCACCTTAAGGTTATGTTAGTAGTAATCTGGATCTGAGATCCAATATTTTATACATAGTATAACACATTGCTATGAAAGTTTCTAAAAGAAAACTGCCGGAAAAACTATCATTACCCTCAAGACATGTAGGGCAGACATCTTCATCTTCTGAAGAAGTGTAAATATGAGCATATCCTGTGGTTGTTTTAGCTGTTGAAAGCTTTACTGGCGATTTAGAATCATACTTTTCTGATCCTTCTTCACATTCAAACTCTTTCCATTTCTTTGTGTTAATTAAAGATTCAGAATCGTCATCTACTTCACTTCTTCTTAGCGGTTCAGTTTCTTCGTGTGAATGAGTCGAGCCTTTCTCCATTCTAGAGACCAGTTCATCACGCTGCAAGCGGAAATATCTTGGATCTACATCATAAGGCAGAGGTCTTGGAGGAGAGTGGTACATATCAGCTATAGAGTTATCAAGGGATGCAGAAGAACTCAAAGATGCCGTCCCTTGAGTGGATGAAGGAATCACATATTCTCCCCCTCTATGAAACAATGATGCATACTGCAGGACGGAACAATGAGTTATAATCAAATTTACATATCCCATTTATCGTCATTCAAATAGTGTCAGTAATGTTATGGATTAACCTTAATCTCTAACTCCGAGAACAAGGATAAATGAGAAACATATCAGAAAAGAACAAGAACACATACAAATATATAGTGGTTCGGTCTTAACGTGAGAGTTGCGTCCACACACGACCTGTGGATTTTCACTACAAGGAAGAGGATGAATTTTTACAATGAGAGATCCCACGCATCTTCATTTTTCCCGCGCAGAAACAAAACCGGCCCAACCCTCTTATTTATTTATCTACTGTAGGAACTTGGGCATCCAAAAAACAAATCTATAAATACACAATATGTGCCTAAAACAACATATAACATACATGTCTTATAGTGAACAAGGATGCAGAAAAGTAGTAGTGCTGAATTAAAATTGAATCTTTGAATTAAATTTAACTAATAGACAAGAAATTATTTGAAGTATACCAGATGTAAGAAGTTCTGAAGGAAGCATTGAAGACATATACAGTTCCTATAAATCGAGCTGTTCGGATTACCAAACTCTTCACATTCATCCCTCAAACAGCAACAAAAAGACCCCATAATTACCTACTTCAGTCAACTTTAATCCCTTAAAACTCCTTTTCCACCCAGTGGTCTCAACAATTCTCAAACTCGATCCAAGAAACTTTGAAAATTGTAACCTATGGAATCGAGATGGCTAAGGAGAGATACAAAAAGCTCGCAGAAGTTCGAGTAGCTTCCCGAACCAGGACCTTCTCTCTTTAACAGAGAAAAAATTCTTATAAGCTTAACTTAAATTTATATTTACCTGCAAAACAGAAAGAATAATTCATCATCAGAAAGCTCGAAAATTATTTCCTGGATCAAATAAATATAAATTGCTAGAAATATGAAATCAAAACTAAAATCAATGTGTATTTTTTGTGGTGCGTGAGTTTGTATTTCATTACAGTACTTCAACAGTGAAGAATGAGACTATCTACCAATAATCAAGCTGTAAAATCGATTATCGACCAAAAATCCCAACAGAATGTGATTGGAAAATCAAAATCTAAACACACAATTCGTGAAAATTTACAATTTCTTTAAAATCAAGCAAGCAAGCAATAATCCGCTTATACGCATAAAAATACATGAAGATTATTTTTTTCCCAAACAATTGCCAAAATTTTCAGTTCATTCATCAAACAGAGAAAAACCCATTACAGATTACACGATTAAAACAAGAATCTAATCATATAAAAGAGATAAATTGAAAATTAATAGGTAATATTTATTTTTTTTTAAAAGTTACCTAAGCTTATAAACAGATAGACGATCCTGGAGAAACAGGAGCCGAGAAATCCGAGGTCAGACGTTTCAGAGATTTTGTATTTATCTATTTCTGTAACTTTTTTCCCAATATAGGAGTACGGATGAAGGCGACGAATTTTTTGGACCTTTTTCTGCTGACGATAGTAATATTTATATGTTCATCGTCCGAGAATTTATCGATTTATCAAGGTAGTCCTAGAAGTACAATTACTTTTCAATTCTTTTACTTTTAGATAGAGAAAGAATTTGGATTGCTAAATTTTAATTGAATTAGAATTTGTTCTTCCGAATAATTTAGAAATTTGAATATTATTATCGATAAAAATAAATATTATGTGAACCTTCCTATTAATACGAATTGCCCAACAAGTTCAATAGAAAAACAAACAAACAAACAAAAACAAATCATAAAGCAAATATCGAAAGTATCTTTTTCTCTATTCTTATATGCTTATAAACTAACTTAAACTTGAGCTTTTTTTTGTGTATTGGGCTTAATAGTTGAAACACTAAAAATTAAATTCGTTTTGCTTTCGATTTCGATTTTGATGTTTGGAGAGTTAGAACCAAACTAAAAATCAATAGTATGCGACTAACCGGTTCCAATAATCAATAGTATGGAACTATTTGGTTCGATTTGTAGTATTGAAATCGAATTGAAACCGAAGGTAATAGTTCAATTTTGAAAAAATAAAAAAATAAAAAAATAGTGATAAAATAAAAAATGGTTAATTATTAGGAAATATTTTTAAAAAAATCTTTAAAAAAAATGGGAAATGGTTCTAATGGGTCCAATTTCTAGATTATGGGTTTCTACCAATCGATTTGATTCGATTTTAATGATTTCAATTCTTTTTTCCACCTCTTCTAACCAATGAAATAATACATACTATCCTTTATTAATATATAAATTACAAGGTGGAGCCCTTCTTAACTTATATATTTCTTCTCGTAATGCCAAATTGCCAGACAATTGATCACTTCTCCGACGTGTGCAAGGCTATTTTCATTTAAAATGAAGATTAGCCCTTGTTTGAGTTACATTAAATAGTGTATTGATAGAAAATGTGTGATTAAAAAATAAAAAAAAATTAAATTAGCATGTAATGTTATTTCATTGAAAAATGTGCTATTGAAATGATGTCAAATCACTATTTAAAAATGTATTTTTTGAAAGAATGTGGATCAAACGAGGCGTAATTATGCTATTTTTGTATTGCATTTGCCTGCCTGAAAATACACGATAAGGTAAATTAATTGTAAATTCGAGATTTTTGTAACTAATATCCCAAACAAAACAACTTAATTTCGATTAATTCAAACTTCTACTCAATTTAACTTATAATTGATTAAAAGCAATATTGAGTATAATAAACTTATTTGAAATAGAACTATTTTAAGCAAATAAGTAATTTGATCCAAATCAACTCAACTTGACTTTAATAATTTATGTGATTGAGACTAATTAAGTCGAACATGGTCAAATTGTAATCAATCATGTTTGGTGTAAACCAAATTTGAGAGTTTGCCAATTTTATTTTATTTTTTAAAAAAATAAATTTTTTGGTCCACAATATTTTGAAAACAAGGTGCGTCAACAATGACGCAAAGGAAATAATGTAGAAATGGAATTAATTGTTTGAATACAAACCAAATTTTGGATAACATCACATTTCACTCACTAAACTTCAATTTGCACCACATTACTCTCTGGACTTTATGAAGTTACATTCTATTATAGCGCTTGTTTGGTAGGGATTTTATTAATTGAATTTTTGACCGTTAGAAATAAAGTGGGTTCTACTTGTGAGAAAAGAATTCAAAAATGTCATCTAAAATAGTAAAATAACGATAAAAAAATTGATTTTAATTAAATTTTAAACTATACCAAACATGCTCGTGAGCAACTTTCGGTTATAACTCTTACCTGGGTGGATGACGGAATGTACATTTGGCAGTTAAATCTTTCAAACAGAAAACTCAAATGCCATGTCAACACTTCCAAACACACCACACCCTTTCCAATTGAAATCATGAAATAGAGAATGCAAGCCACCTAGACTGGAAGCCCAAATTCTGTATGAACCCTAACCCCCAAATCGATTTTGCCACACGATTGAAGGACCTCAAAGCTTGATTGTTGTAGCCGTTCACATGGAGAGACCATGTGGAGGTAATCCCAAAACATTTCTCCTTTTGAAGAGATCTTGAAGCCAGACATTGGTGCCTCAGGAGTTGGATGTATTTTCAGGTAATGGGTTTCAAGAGTATACTATTGGAGCTTACTCTCCATGGTCTATTGGTTTTGAATTGCAGATTTGCAAGGAGTGGGAAAATTATTTCAGATTTTATGACTTTTAAAAAATGGGGGAATCTTGGTTAAGTTCAAAGGAGAAATTTTGGTTTCTACTTTCTTGTAATCTGACACTTCAGGGGATGCCACGATATTTTGAAACAAAAGTTCTTGTTGGTAGCCTTATTTTAATCTATTTTCATTATCTACATCTATGAATTGTGAGGTCCGAATTATCGAGTCTTTTTATGTTTATCATTTGTTGTATATCATTAGGGTTGTTTATTACACTGGTCATCATTACCTGCTTACTGGCATTCTTGGACTTGTGATGGTATGGATTTGTTTAGCCATGCTGACCGACAAGACTCTCTCAGGAACAAAAAAAAAACTTCAAAAAATGTGTTCATTTGTGTTTGCAATTCTTGGCATTCTGTTTGAGCATAATTGGAGTATGCGCTGCTTGGAAGTTTCACAATGGCAAAGGTGTTGACAACTTCTATAGGCTCCACTCATGACAAAGGCTGTTTTAGAGAAAATGACTTTTCTTTACCTATCAAAAAAAAAGAGAAAATGACTCTTCTTCAAGCACACAACATAATATCACACCTTTCATCTGAGGCGTTGTTGGTGAACTTATAGCATGTTGATAGTTGTTTTGGGTGGTTTTGTGATTCTTGTTGTCGTCTCTCCTGTGCATGGCAAAGGTGACATTCTCAGAAGATCTATAGAATAGTGTCACTTTTGTAGAGAGAGATGTGACGAGATTGAAATTACTAAAATTTTCTTGTTGACAGATTTAAAGAAAAACCAAATGAAATTTAAGTTTTTGTACAAGATTTTGATTATATGATGTTTCAACTTCAATGATTTTGTTACTGCATATGGACCAGAGTTGGGCGATCTATCAAGACTGAAAAACAATATTATGGGACTAAAGCAAGCTGGCCATCTATATATCCCCTCTACTATAACAGAGTGAATCACAATTGTAGTGTCACTTTTGTAGAGAGAGATGTGACGAGATTGAAATTACTAAAATTTTCTTGTTGACAGATTTAAAGAAAAACCAAATGAAATTTAAGTTTTTGTACAAGATTTTGATTATATGATGTTTCAACTTCAATGATTTTGTTACTGCATATGGACCAGAGTTGGGTGATCTATCAAGACTGAAAAACAATATTGTGGGACTAAAGCAAGCTGACCATCTATATATCCCCTCTACTATAACAGAGGGAATCACAATTTACTGTTCATTCTTGAAACCTCCAATTCACACCTAAACAGGTTTACTAGTGTTCACTATCTCATTTTTTGCTGTTTAGTATATCTTCAAGCGGTATAGATAGACATGGGAAAGTAGCTTTTCACTGTTGTTACCCATATCTTTCTTCAAGATCTCGATTTCTTCTTCTCTTCTCAAATATTCAAGGAACCCCTACTATATCTACAAAAACCCTTGACGAAATTGCCTGCAAATGTCATTTACGGTCGACGAAATCGAATTTTCAGAATATCCTTTCTCTTTTTATGAATTGTTGGTGACGATTTTATTTTCTCACTATTAATCATTATTTTGTGTTTTCTTCTCATTCGACTTCCTTTCGTAAAATCTAGGAACATTTCCACACGAGGTGGACAACAAAAGGGGATTTCTTGATGCGAAGTGGACTGTAGCGATCTACTTTTTTCTTCCACCTTTGTTTGAAGATTTGTGATTCTTTCAGAAAATCCACATAAAGTGGATCGTGCTAACCTCAAGAACATTAGTCTCTTGTTTATCCTTGAATACGTTTATCGAGTTTCGTATTTTTGTTCCTGTTTGTCACTTTTCAATCCTTGATTGTGTTCCTACAAATTTGTGTGGTAGTTTCTTCAAAACTTGAAGTGGTTTTATATTTACTTTAATTTACGGTGTATAGTCTTTTAATTTCTTCTTTGGCTATGTTTAAGTGTTCTATTTCTTCTATCTATATGTTTTAGCTTTGTATAACTTTGTTTAGGGAGTAAAAAATTTTACATTTCTGTTGCCTTAGGTTCATAGTTATTGAGATTGATGATTCTAAATGTATAGTCTTTATTTAATAAGGTTTTTTCAAAAGAAAACTTTTCATCCTTTTGATTTCTACTCAGTTTATGTACAAATTTTCTATTGTTTTACAGTTGTACTTCCCTTTGAAGAAAAAACTGTTGAATACAATTTCACTTTCAGTAAGCTTGAAGGAAAATCATAAGAATGAACTGAAATTTGTATTTCATGCATTATGTAAAAGTAATTCTTAGTGTTTAAACAATTAAAGGAATCCCAATTTACCGTTCATTCTTCAAACCTCTGTTCATACCTAAATTGGTTCACTACTGTTCACTATCTCATTTTTTGTTGCTTGGTAAATATCTACAAGTGGTATAGATAGATATAGGAAAGCAGCTTTTCACTGTCGTTACCCATATATTTCTTTGAGACTTTGATTTCTTCTTCTCTTCTCAAATATTTGAAGAACCCCTAATATATCTATAGAAAATCCTCGATGAAATTGCCTACAAATCTCATTTACAGTCGACGAAATTGAATCTTCTAAATATTCTTTTTCTCTTTTTGTGAATTGTTGGTAACAATTTTATTTTCTTACTATTAATCGTTTGATTGTGTTTTCTTCTTATTCGACTTCCTTTCGTAAAATCTGATAATATTTCCACACAAAGTGGACAACATAAGGGGATTTCTTGACGTGAAGTAGACTGTAGCCATCTACCTTTGTTTGGAGATTTGTGATTCTTTCAGAAACCCACACAAAGTGGATCGTGCTAACTTCAAGTACGTCATTCTCTTGTTTATCCTTGTATATGTTTTTCGAGTTTCGTATTTTTGTTACTGTTTTTTGTCACTTTTCAATTCCCATTTGTGTTCCTATGGATTTTTGTGGTAATTTCTTCAAAAATTAAAGTTGTTTTATATTTGTTTTACTTTATGGCGTATAGTCTTTTGATTTCTTCTCTGACTATGTTTAAGTGTTCTATTTCTTCTTTCTTTATGTTTTAGCTTTGGGAAACTTTGGTTATGGAGTAAAAAATTTTGCATTTTTGTTGCCATAGGTTCATAGTTAGTGAGATTAATGATTCTAGATATATAGTCTTTGCTTAGTAATGTTTACTAAAAGAAAATTGTTCATCCTTTAGATTTCTGCTCAGTTTATGTACAAGTTTTCTATTGTTTTACAGTTGTACTTCCTTTTGAGGAAAAAATTGTTTAAATAAAGTTTCACTTTTAGTAAGCTTGAAGGAGAATCATACAAATGAACTGGAAGTTGTATTTCATGCATTATGTAAAGTTAATTCTTAATATTCAAATATTTGAAGTAATCCCCTCTACTTTAAAAGAGTGAATCCCAATTTACTGTTCATTCTTGAAACCTCTAGTTCACACCTAAATTGGTTCACTACTGTTCACTATCTCGTTTTTTACTATTTGGTATATATCTTCTTATTTGACTTCCTTTCATAAAATCTGATAATATTTCCACACGAAGTGGACAACATAAGGAGATTTCTTGACGTGAAGTAGACTGTAGCCATCTACCTTTTCCTTCTACCTTTGTTTGGAGATTTGTGATTCTTTCAGAAACCCACACAAAGTGGATTGTGCTGACCTCAAGTACGTTATTCTCTTGTTTATTCTTGTATATGTTTTTCGAGTTTCGTATTTTTGTTACCGTTTGTTTGTCACTCTTCAATTCCCATTTGTGTTCCTATGGATTTTTGTGGTAATTTCTTCAAAAATTAAAGTTGTTTTATTTTTGCTTTACTTTATGGCGTATAATCTTTTGATTTCTTCTCTGACTATGTTTAAGTGTTCTATTTCTTCTTTCTTTATGTTTTAGCTTTGGGAAACTTTGGTTAGGGAGTAAAAAATTTTGCATTTTTGTTGCCATAGGTTCATAGTTAGTGAGATTAATGATTCTAGATATATAGTCTTTGGTTAGTAATGTTTATTAAAAGAAAATTGTTCATCCTTTAGATTTCTGCTCAGTTTATGTACAAGTTTTCTATTTTTTTACAGTTGTACTTCCTTTTGAGGAAAAAATTGTTTAAATACAGTTTCACTTTTAGTAAGCTTGAAGGAGAATCATACGAATGAACTGGAAGTTGTATTTCATGCATTATGTAAAGGTAATTCATAATGTTCAAATATTTGAAGTAATCCCCTCTACTTTAAAAGAGTGAATCCCAATTTACTGTTCATTCTTGAAACCTCCAGTTCACACCTAAATTGGTTCACTACTGTTCACTATCTCGTTTTTTACTATTTGGTATATATCTACACGTGTATAGATAGATATGGGAAAGTAGCATTTCATTGTAGTTACCTATATCTCTCTTTGAGAACTCGATTTCTTCTTCTCAAATATTCGAAGAACCCTTAATATATCTACAGAAAACCTTTGATGAAATTGCCTGCAAATCTCATTTACGTTTGATTTTATGTTTTCTTCTTATTCGACTCCCTTTTGTAAAATCAAAGAAAATTTCCACGCGAATTGGACAACAAAAGGAGATTTCTCGATGCGAAGTGGATTGTAGCGACCTGCCTTTTTCTTCTACCTTTGTTCGAAGCTTTGTGATTCTTTCAGATAACCTATGCACAGTGGATCGTGCCAACCTCAAGTACGTTTGTCTCTTGTTTAAAGGGTATACATTTTTCGAGTTTTGTATTTTTTTCCCTATATGTTTGTCACTTTTCAATTTCATTTGTGTTCCTATGGATTTGTCTAGTAGTTTCTTCAAAGCTTGAAGTGGTTTTATATTTGCTTTACTTTATGGTGTATGATTTCTATTTCTTCTCTGACTATGTTTAAGTGTTCTATTTCTTCTTTCTATATGTTTTAGTTTTGTGAAACTTTGTTTGAAGAGTAAAAAGTTTTACATTTTTGTTGCCTTAGGTTCATAGTTATTGAGATTGATGATTCTAGATGAATAGTCCTTGTTTAGTAAGGTTTTTTAAAAGAAAATTATTCATCCTTTTGATTTTTACTCGGTTTATATACAAGTTTTCTATTGTTTTGCAATTGTACTTCCCTTTGAGTAAAAAAATATTGAATAAAATTTCACTTTCAGTAAGCCTGAAGGAGAATCATACGAATGAACTGGAAGTTGTATTTCATGCATTATGTAAAAGTAATTCTTATTGTTCAAACATTTGAAGTAAGAATCAGTTCTTGTAGACATACTTTGCATATCGAACTCTCTTTAAGTTTATTAATATTGATTGAGCAGTTTCTTGTTTTAGTTTATCCTTTATAATACGTGTGCTGAAATATGTCACAAATAAGCCTTTGTTCCTCTTCTGAAATGATCGCTATGCCTAAACAAGCTTTTGTTATATTCTCTTCTTAAATGACTGCTATGTTGGAGATTTGGGATTAGCTATGCCTAAGTAAGATTTGACTTGGATTGGTTCAACAAGAAATTGGTTTTGGAAGAACTTTGAAATCACGTACCATTGCTACTCGTCATTGTTGTGTAGCGATCGAAAAAAGAAATGTGTTGCTTCGTTTCAAAATAAAATTTTAGAACTTGAATATAAATTGGGTTATATTATTACGTCGCTACGACACTTCCTTTAAAGTTCAAATTAAAGTTTTGGTCATGATAGTAAAGTTTCGCATACTTGTTTTTAAAAATGTTGTAAGGTGTCGAGATCTCATTTAGACGACAAATTTTTATTTTGTTACATTATTGTGACGACACACTTTTTATTAATTGCTACCCCGATTATGTCCTTAAATTTTAAAATTAGATACACTTGTTATATTGTACCAAATAACCCCAAATTCGATTCCATCATCTTGAATTCTTCTTACGATTTTTCCATCCACAAAGTTTGTTAACTACCCCACTTACTAGATTAACCTCCATTTTTTTTATTCTATTGTTAACTACCAATATATATATATATATATATATATATATATATATATTTTTTTTGAATTTGGAAGTTATTTTGCATGTGTAACGAACAAATCCGCATTTAAAACCATTTTTAACTTACCATTTCTTTTGTCAACTGCCCACACACCAAAAAAAAAAAAAAAAACTCACTAAACGTCCACTTAAAAAAAAAAGAAAAAGAAAGAAAAGGGCAATTTCAAAAGCATTTTAACTCGTTAACTTCCCACTTACTTTATTTTTGTAACCTCCCTTTTTAAATGTATCACAACCACCATTTTATACGAAATAAAAGCCATCCCTTTTGTTTTGAAGTTCATAAATTTATTTTGAAAGTCCAAATTTCAACTCCTTTAACCACATTTTATCTCCCAAATTATTATACTTATACAGAAAGTCATTTTGCCCTTTTTTCCATAACTTAAAAGAACCTCTAAATCTGAAATTTTATTTGAAGGAGAG